GGCAAGGGGAGAGGATCTCCGTCTTTGAAGGAACACGTAGCCAGTGGTTTGAGCATGATGGGCTCACAAGTGGCTGCGACAAAGCAGTCGCGCTCCCGTCAGTCTGCCTGCCACCATTTGCGTGATGAGAAAACGCTCGCTGCTCATCGTGCCGAATTTGTAACGAACCCCACACGGTTACCCCAAAGTGGAACAGCAGTCCACTGGCTCGTCGCGACGCCGAGCTGACTTTTTTGGCATGGCAATCTACTGCCACGATTCCCATGGGAGTAGGCCAGATCCAGCCGGAAGCATTCCCTGTTTTTCTTTCATGGTTTGGGCTTCAAGGAAACCACAGCTAGAAACCGGCTCCGCAAGGGAGCTTGTTCTGTGCTTTTGGTGCGTTAACCAGACCAAGAGCACTGGAGCAGTTCAACACTCCTCTCGGCTAGCTCGGAAACTGGCTAGACAATTGAAGAACCAGGCCGAAAGTTTTCACACGGGGAAGCTGCTATCCACACAGGCCCTTCATTATGACAAAGACTCCTCTTGCAGCATTGAAAGTACTTGCAAACATCAAGCAGCGTCCCCCACATGCCAAGAAACAAACCCCACAAGTAGTATGAGATCGCTTCAGTGCAGGAAACCAGGATTAATCAGTTCTGCAAGCGAATGACATTGGCCCAATGCACAAGAATGAATTAGTCACTGTGGAAATTTGTTCAGAGGCGAGGTAGAAGCTGCTTTTGGCAGGCCAGGCTTGGGCTGCAGTCCCTCAATTTAGACGCTGAAATCCCTTGGCCTGGGAAGGCGGGATCATTAGCATCGAGGAGTCCCGGGAGATGCCGGCTCTTCGCCACTGAACCCCTTTGGGCTGAAAGTCTCCTCTTCTGGGCACTGCTGTTTCTGCAAATGCACTCATCTCAGGACATCTCATATGCTCGCATCGGGCCTGTTATCACTTAGCCTGCTGGTTTTATGATTATGACTTGGCCCGAGCGAGGAGGGGCTGTTCTGAGAAGCGAAGGGTGAGAAATCGATTCCCACAACCTCGCTCGGCCTCGCCGCTGCAGCGAGCGAGGAGCAGCTCTGGGCAGGCGTGTCACGTGTGATCCTGTCTGGCCAACCCCAGAACGAGTCTGGCGGATCGCAGCGGAGGGGGCCCGGTGTTTCTGTGAGCACTTTTTGGAAGCCACGGTCGTTCGGTTCCAGCTTGTTTCTTCTTCAGAACAGAATGGCCGGGATCCAGATGGTTAGATCAGGGCTGCCCAAGGGCTCGGGCGTGCTCGGAGAGATGTTTTCACACACACACGCACACACACACACACCCTTTGAAAGGCATCTCTGCAGATTGCTTGAGATAGCTCTCCTGGTTTCAGCTGGGTTTAATGCGTGGCTTTGCAAGTGGGTGGATGGGTGGGGATGCGATGCTGTTGAAGCACAGAGTTAAAGCAACCCCCTGGCTATGCGCCTTTTTTCTTTTTTTAAATCCCAGTGAAATGAGATGGGGCCTTGGACTGCACTGGGGCCTTTGCCTGCCTTGGCGTCCATCGGCAACATGTTGGGGTACCAAAGAGGCAGGGTCCTTGCTTCTTTGCAGCCATGTGGGACAGCAATAATGATGGGGGACATGCGTGCCTGTTTCAAGCGCCCCCGATGAAGGGGGGGTATTTATTTTCAGCATCGCCACTCGGCACCATCAGCATAAACCGAGGTTCCCAGGGTAGCAAAGAAACAGCAAAGGTTTAAAGAAAACAGCTTAAAAATACGGAATACACTTCACGGAGTGGAACACATGGCTGTTGGGGAGTTGCTGTTTGCCATCTTTTGAATGGTGCGTGTAAAATAATATCGAAACACAAACGAAAAACAGAGAGGGTTAAAATAGCAAAGGGGAAATGGAAAGGGGTGGTTGATGGGTTTTGATTTCATTTGCTGAAAAGACGGCAGACTGCGGATGGCAGTCAGTCTCAAGAAAAGCAGAGCACTCTGGGGTTTTGTAAAAATAAAAAGGCTGGAGAACCAGACCGCTGATTACTGAACTCAGAAACACAGAAGCAGAGCGAGTCAGAAGGGGCCTCCTGGGCCATCTAGTCCGACCCCGGCTCCAGCGTGGCTGCTTCCTTCTCTCTTCCTGCTGTGTGGAGGCCAGTGGCTGGAAAGACCACGGTGTTTCTCTTCTCTTCCCCATGGTGTGGGGCTCTTCTCACTGCTCTCCCGGTGCCCCCAGTTGCTGGGCATCTGCTGAAAGAGATGAGAGCTGCTGAAGCCCACCCGGACAGATGTCCTGTCTATCCACACGCGGCAAAACTCTCCATTCCTGGCATAGAATACGGTGCTGGGGGAAAACCAGGAAGAGAGGCTACCTATCAAGGGAGAATCAGTCTCCCTCCCCGGCCAGGCCTGCCGCCATCTCCCCACTTTAGGGTTCTGTTCTTTTCCTCCTAGCAGAGAATCCCATGTCTCATTTCAGGGGCTCTTCCCTCTCCGCAATGCACGCATCCCCCGTCCCCGCAGGTGTCTCTGGTCTCCCAAAACGTTCTTTCTGCCAATAAGTGGAGAAGATGCAGGGAGGGAAATTCAGAAGGGCAGGAATGAGAGCCAGGGAACGGGAGAGAAGATCCTCGTTTCTGGGCTTATGGGCCTTTCCTTCCAGCTTTGCTCGCTGCCTGGCTTGCTCTTCCCAGCGCTCAGGGCCGAGGGCCATCGGCGCTCGCCAGGCATTATTCTCGTGCTGCCACCGTATCTTGCCCAGGCACCAGCCCCTAAGGCAGAAGCAACCGCCCTCCTTTCACTGCCCCTGCTATCACCCCCCCATCCAGTCCTGCCCCCCGGAAGACTTCCTGGTCACTCTTGGGGCAAATGCAGACGGAATTCCGATTTTACTGGGAAGTCTTTCTTTGGGGGGACCCTACGGTACTGGCATTTGGCGGGGTGCTCCGGGAGCGAATTTTGCCTTCCCAGCTACCTCCAGATGTCCTCTGGCTTCCGCTGCTTTGCCCGGGATCCAGCTTTGTGCTGGAGCTGGGAAGCACACTTGGGAAAGAACCATCCCGGGCGTCGCTCATTTCCAAGCTCTTCCATCTCCTTGCATTCAAGTCGGGAGAGACAGATGGAAACGACACGGACGCCTCCCTCGTGGAAGGGGAAAAGCAAGCGGGAGCGGAGAGAGAACTTTCCGTGTCTTCTCCGTGACAATGAGCTCATGCAGTCCAGCCCGGCCTCTCCCGCCCAGCGGTCTTGTTTGTCCTGGCTGGCGGCGTGACCCCGCGTCCGGCGGAGCCCCAGTCTGACCAGTAGGCCCCGATCCGTTTGGCAAGCCACGCTGGGGCCCTCGGAATTTATCTGCTAACGTCCCCGGAGGGGAAGAGGCTCCTGGCGGCCGGGGAGGCTCTCCGATGCGTGCAGGAGATTTATGGGTCGAGCAGAGGCGCTTGCGGAAAAGGCGATACAGACACTGGCAAGCGGCCACCAGACTGCTGCAGCTGCAGCGCGGTGAAGTCATCGACATAACAACCGCGGCAAACAGAATAACAAAGTCTGCCCTGTTCGCCTCTAAAATAATCTTTCCAATTCCGAAACCGCAGTTTTTAAAACGTACCTTTCTGCCTACGATTAGGGAAGGAGACAGCCGACTAGCTTGCCGGGAGGCGGCGGGGCTGTGGGGTGGGGGGGAGGCGATTGGATGAGGTTTTAAAGGAGCACATAAACATGTTCACACGCGCATTCCAGAAATCTTGATTCTCACCTTTGTGGGGGTTTCTTTCCCCTGCCAACCCATGGGGGGGATTGAACCATTTTGGGGGTGCGGGGGGGTTTACGAATTTCTTCTTTCAAGTTTTCTGCTGGAAAACTTTCGCCGTGCAGCACACAGAGCTGCAGATTAGTTGTAAAGTAATCCACATTTGGGTGGATGTAATTGTATGATGCCATTGAAAATCTGCAGGAAAACACAGGTATCTGCTGAAAGGCAACGTACGTTCCACACCAAGGTGGACTTTTCCTATTGATAATGGCAGATAATTTACATATTTGGAGATTTTGGATGTTCTGATTCAGGCGGAAGATGGGCCTATGCCTTTGTATGTGCATGTAAACACAAAACAGATCTTTTTGGCACCTTTCAGCATTCAGCATAGCCAGAACCTTGGTGGATTAGAGCCTGTGACATCCAATTCTTCTCTTAACTAGTCTCCGGTGAATTAATAAACCCGGCTCAGTACAGACTTCGTTTGCCTTCCTTTGGACCAAAGGAATTAAAAGATGCTAGACTTTCAGTTGTCACTACCTTGCAGCCGTTAACATGCCTTCAAGTCACCTTACATTTTTGGTGGGCCCAAAATGGGCTTGTGGAAGCCCTCCAAAATAGGCCGTCTGCAGCAGCCCCACTCAGCTCTTCCAATTTCATGGCGGTGGCTTCTTTTACGGAGCCCACGCTCTCATATTTAGTCTCCCTTTTCTTCCTCTGTCTTCAAATTTCCCTAGCATGAATACTCCTATTATATGTACCATTTATTGGCTTAACGTATTCGTGACATCGCTGTACCTGGCTGGTATTGTTTTGCCAGGACAAGACATTTCCGTAACTGAAACATGAAAGCGTAAAACCCAAGAGCTTACCTTGCTTGCGGTCGTAGCTGGCATTAAATGCAACCTTTCGCTGACGTGTTTTGCAAGGACACCGCAAACCTGCGTGGCACCTAGCAAAACTCTCCTCCTGCACTCCGAGTTGTTAAGAGCGCCACAACTGTCGTCTTCGGGGCGTTAATCTCATGCCTGCTTTCCCCTTACCAGCCTGGGTTTATTTAATTTCCAGCCCAAGGAACAGTTCTGCAGAACTTGGAAACGTTCTTTGTGACCAGCCCAGGCGAGTGGGTGGGTGATAACAAAATGAGCAGCTTTCTTGCTCGACCTCATGTGGATGTGCAGAGGCTTTGACCTACATTTGATGTTTTAAAATGCTGTAGAAAATAACCAGAAGAAAGCACCCGATCATTAAACCATTTTGTTTCCCCGTTCAGGTCCCATCTGATCCTCCTGCTCCCAAGAAACTGAAAACTGACGACTCCTTGCAGGCTCTGGTAGTTGGCGACAAAGAGAAACAGTCGAACTGGTTGCGGTCTTTGTCCGGTTCGTCCAGCAAGGTGAGTAGCGGCAGAGAGGTCTTTTCTTGGCGGCCAAGCATCGGGTTTGCATGTAGAAAGTGTCAGCTGCAGCCCCAGAACTAAGTAGCTACAATGCGATCATAGAATTATGGAACCGTAGAGCTGGGAGGGGCCAACTCAGCTCAGCACAGGACTCCCCAAGTTCAAGCATCTCTCTCAGATGACTGTCCAGCTGCGTCTTGGAGGTCTCTAGGGTGGGAGAGCCCACCACCTCCCTAGGTCTTGGGTTCCATTGCCATAGTGCTTCAACAGTCAAGAATTTCTTCCTGATACTTAGCCAGAATCTGGCTTCCTGTCACTTGAGCCCGTTATTCTGTGTCCTGCACTCGGGGGTAACTGAGAAGAGATCCTGGCCTTCCCCTTTGTGACAGCCTTCCGAGGACCTGAACAGTGCTATCATGTCTCCTCTTCTCGAGGCTAAACATGCCCAGTTCTTTCACCCTCTCCTCAGAGGACTGCGTTTCCCGTCCTTGGATCCTCCTTGTTGCCCTGCTCTGAACCCTCCCCAGCTTGTCGGCATCTTTCTTCAACCGTGGTGCCCAGAACTGGACACAGGACTCCAGATGAGGTCTGACCAGGAGATGGTGGAGACCTCTGCCTGCCTGAGACCTTAGAACTAGATGGGCAGCCACTCCGGCCCGGCATAAGCAACCTGCTCACAGTTCTGTGCCCCCAGCCCAGGGATATGGTTTTAAAACCCGCTTTTTCCCCTCCGTGGAAGCCTCCAAATTCCAAAACTTTTCTACAAACCAGCTCCCATGGCATTGAGGGTAACATCCGGTTTCCAAAGAATACAGAAAGAGTTTCAGAAAAGGGTGGAAATCTATATTGGGAATAAAGATGGCACCCTGTGTGTGTGTACCATATGGCAGGTGACCTTTGCTCATACTTCGTATTTTGCATTTTGCAGTGCAATCTTGCATGCATTCAGACAAGAAATAGCACACAATTACCAGCATGCCCCAGCCAACAGGGCGACCTTTAAAAACTTGGCTTCTGTTTTAGAAACTTACTTCAAAATCTACTCTTGCCAAACCAAACTTTCGATAAGAGGCCTCTACAGACATTCCTCTTCCAAGTTGTAGGTGAACCTGTTTCGGGGCCGTGCACGGTGGCTCTGAAATTGTACGTGCAGATGCAGGCGCACGATTTTGCTGGTTCATTAAAAGCGTCTGATAAATGAGGCACATACTGAGTCAGACTTTTGGCTCATCCCGTCCAGCATCATCTACATCGCCGCCAGTGACACACAGGGATTTGATGGGTGTGTGTGGGGGGGTGTCTTTCTTAGCCCTCCCTGGAGATGGCTGCATTTGAACCCGAGACCTTCCTCATTCAGAGCAGGTGCTCTCCCACTCGCAGAGGGCGTCATCCACGGGGACACGAGCGTCGTCTTGCGCTCTCTGCTTCTTCGAGCCCCCAGCCCCTACCTGTTCCCGCCCCTCTGCACATGCCCTCCTCTCATGCTGTTCTCTCTCTGCCCCTGCCTCCAGCAGAGCATCGGCTGCATACACCCACGGCAGCGCCTCTCTGCCTTCCGGCCCTGGTCCCCGGCCGTTTCAGCCAGTGAGAAGGATCTCCCAAACCACATCCCTGCTTTGATCAGAGACAGGTAAGCCAGAGCCAGGTGAACCCACAGCCCCCTTGGTTACGAAGGCCGGCACATCAGAAAAGGCTGTGGCATTTCAGAGAGTCAACACAGGCGGAACTGGCACCGTTGAGCTGGGGGATGTGGGAGCATAAGCAGCTGGCTGGCTTCCCCAGTCGGGAGGCAGAAGTTTTGGCTCCTGCAGTGGAGGCTTCAGCTGATCCACTGCGTTACTGCATCCCCAAAAGCTCGCGCGCAGCCCGGCCTCTCCTGAGCCTGCCTGCTGGGCGCGCCACCCTCGAAGCAGCGTGGCGACGACACCCAGGCAAGTCAAGGTGTCCCTTCCCTCCCTCCCTCTGCAGTTTCTACTCGTACAAAAGCTTCGAGAACGCCGTCGCGCCCAACGTCGCCCTCGCCCCTCCACCGCAGCCAAAGATCGTCAGCAACCCCCTGTGCGCCACGGCGGTGCCACGGAGCAGTGAGCCGCTGAGCAGCCCTCCCCAGCCGAGGAAAAGAAAACACGTCCCCGAGAATCCGGCGATCCCCGAACCTCTTCCCACCGCTGCCGTCACGCCCACTGCCGCTGCTCTCCCCGCAACAGAAGAAGAGAAGGAGTCCGAAGCAGAAATTGAAGTGGAAACCCGAGAAGAATGTAAGTGTGAGTTATCCAGTCTTGCTTCATTTTACATTTCCTTGGTCCCTGGGGACTGTGGCCAGCTTTTAGGTCCATTTTAGGGGAGTAGTCCTCGTTTCTTGCGCCTTTCCGCTACAGTCAGTGCTTCAGTAGCTAGGAACAGTTACATGGGAGTTAAAGTAGTAATTCATACACGCAGCCCCATTAAAAACACACCAGGAATTTTAAGGAAGACTTCAGTAAAACAGCCGAAGCCCAGCCTAAATGAAAACATTTTTGTGTACGGACAGAAGAGCGGCAGATCTGGCCCAGCTTCCTTCGGAAGGGCATTCCAAGGCCCTTTCCCACATTCCCATTGCGCTTACGGCCCTGATGAGGACAGGGCCGAGCAGAAGGCCTCTTCTGAGAATCTAAACACACGGGCAGTTTCCAAGAAAGGAGAGAATAAGTTCCCCCCCGGTGGAAGGGGTTAAAGAGAGCGCAAGGCTTCCTTCCGCCTCTGTCATCCAGAATGTGTTGGACCTGCCGTCCTGGAGAAAGCGGGCAGTGCAAACTCGGACCCTTCTGGTGCCCCAATTCCCCCTTGTCAGGCTTGGGAAGAAGGAATCCCACCCAGGGTGTTTCTTTACGGTCATTTCCAATAGGGCGGGGGACTCGGCTGAGCCAGGGTCCAGTCAGTCCTGCCCCCAGGGGTCCCTCTTGCATTCACTGGGGTGCAGGGAGCAGCCAGTCCTGCGCTTCACAGCTCCCGTTGAGATTTCTCTCTCAGACTCATCCTGGAATGCTCTCATCTTGTCTCCCATTGAACCTGCACCCTTCTGAGGGCAAAGATCCCACTGGCGAGATGCAGCACACCCCAAAAAACATTCTTGCTTGCAGAGAAACCTCCTTTCCCACATGCTGCCTGACACGAGGGGCAATCGGATGGGGATCCAAACTTTTTGCTAGGGGACCAGATGCTTCCGCAACACACGGAATGGGCTAGCCAGGGAAACGTACATGAGCCGGGGGCCTGCATTGCCAAGTGGTGGGGTAGGGGGCTTGGCCCGGAGAGGAATCCTCGGCCCAAAGACGTCCTTTGCCACCCATCCGCTCCAGCTTTCTAACGCCGCTTCTGCTGGCGCGGCTGCCGGCGCTGTGTTCTTTTCCAGTCACCTCCTCCTTGTCCTCGCTGTCGTCCCCGTCCTTCACCTCCTCGAGCTCCGCCAAGGACATGAGCTCGCCCGGCATGCAAGCCCCGCTCCCCGCCGGCAGCGTGTTTGAAGCCGCCGGCCACGCGGAGCCCCCGAGCAGCGCCACGGGGCTGGAGGCGGAGCTGGAGCACCTCAGGCAGGCCCTGGACGGCGGCCTGGACACGAAAGAAGCCAAAGAGAAATTCCTCCACGAGGTCGTCAAGATGCGAGTGAAGCAGGAAGAAAAGCTCAACGCCGCCTTGCAGGCCAAACGCAGCCTTCACCAGGTAATGCCCGGGGCCCTCCCCATGGAGAAATCTGCATGGAAGCCTCCCCCACCCAGGGCATAAAAAGCCAGAGAATGCCTGGACCCACACTTCCGTCCGTCTGTCCTTCCATCCTTCCTCCATCTGTCTGTCCGTCCGTCCATCCGTCCTTCCTTCCCGATGGTCTGGGAAGCAAGCTGTTACGGGGTGCTGCATCGCGTGAGTTGAAGGGGTTGCTCTGCCTGGGGGTGAACCAGGAAGCACCATCCCTTCGTAGTGGGGCGACGCGTATGTGCCACAGATGCTGTGCTCCGTTCTTCACCGTGGCCTCTGGGTACCACAGATTATGGGTGCTGCGCCTGTGCAGTGCCTGATGCTGGGAAGATTGAATGGCTTTACCGGTTTTCGGAGGGAACTGCTTGTCGCCCTGCAAACATTTGGGATAGCGTGTCCCGAATGGCCGAGGAGCTGGAGCAAGCTTCCTGTGAGGAGGGCCCCCGTGTCCGAGCCCTTTCTTTAGCGAAGAAAGCCGGCTCAAGTGGGAGGTGGACACGGGCACGGTTGAGAGATGCACGGGCTGCCCATGTTGTCTAGAGGATGAGAGGGAAGGCCGTTCGGTGAATTCGATTTGCTGGAAGCGTTCGGCCAAAGGAAGGGCTTTTTGCGGAGTGAAGCTCCTAGCGATGAGCAGGGCAGGCTGAAGCTGCGCGAGGATCAGGAAGGATTCTGGGGCCCTCCCCTTCCCTTAGTCTCCCCCAGGCACGTGCCCAGCTCGCCCGCAGATGTGGGCTTTGCAATGGCCCCGCCTCGTTGTCGGCATTACGACAACCGCAGCCCAGCTTGCGTGGTGGCTGAGCAGTAGGCGCTTCATCTACGTTTGGTCAGTTCCATCCTGTCCGAGTGGCGGAACTCTCTAGGTGGGTCCCAGCTGCCCGTGAACCGCACTAAATGCGGCATGAAACAGCCGCAGCCGTAAACACGATGCGGTTTCATGCAGGTGGTGCGCAGGAGGACGCGCGTCACCCAAACCGTTGTGCTTCACGGCAGCGCCATCCTTCATCGACTCGCTCCTTCCGCACAGCCTCACGCCTCTTCCTGGCCTCTCGCGAAGCGGAGTGCCAGAACAGGCCGAGCGGCGCTTCCACGGGCTGGAAACCCCGCCAGAGGGCGAGCCCGGCTGGATCCGATGCCGTCGCTTCTGCGGCAGGGCAAAGCGTTTGTGTTTAGAACGGCCGGGAGGAAAGGCCAGCAGGGAGATCACGTCCTGGCTTAGAAAGCTGGATTTGCCGGAGGAGCGGGGGTTTCCGGTGACCCCCGGAGCTCTGTGTGGCTTAACAAAGGAAGGGCTGCATGTACAGATGGGAAAGGGCGGAGGGTGCAGGCAGAGGGGATGCGGGACATTTATCCCACTTGGAACCCTTTTAAGACTCAGAGCAGCCATAATACCAGAATCACAACATTGGAACCGAACTGGAGGCCCCTACGGTGTTTGCTGTCTTTCCAATGTAATGCATGATGCCCAAAGCTCGGGAAGAGGACAGGGTGCAAGGCCGTAGAAATGCTAAGTGCGTGCTTGAAAATCAAATCCATAAATGCGTCTGTCTAGGCCTCGGGCAGATTCCCCGGGCCATGGCCCACTGCCCTTTCCTGCAGTCCTAGGAACGTTTCTGCTTGGATGCCACGTGCGTTCCCCCCAAGGCCCATGGTCTTTAAGACTCTCTAAGAGGGCTTTGCCACATCTTCTTGCAGGAGCTTGAGTTCCTCCGCGTGGCCAAGAAAGAGAAGCTGAGAGAAGCCACCGAAGCCAAGCGCAACCTAAGGAAAGAGATCGAACGCCTCCGGGCTGAGAACGAGAAGAAAATGAAGGAAGCCAACGAGTCCCGAATACGGCTAAAGCGGGAGCTGGAGCAGGCCAGACAAGTCCGGGTGTGCGACAAGGGCTGTGAAGCAGGCCGGCTGCGGGCCAAATACTCCGCCCAGGTAAGGCCAATCCGTATGCTTCTCCTGGACGACGCGTGCGCTTTCTTGACCTATGTCGATGGCCCAGCAGTCAAAGTGAAGATCCTCCCAGTGCATCTTGCGGTCTCTGCTGGTGCCTCCTCTTAGTTTGAGATCCCAGTGGCAGAGGTGGTGGTCGGAAGAATAAACGGGCGGGATTCTACGTTCTGCCACCTCTCCCGGTGGGGTGAAAAACATCAGAGGAAGGGCAAGTAGATTTGCTTCTCCAGCTGGGCCTGAGAGGGCCAGTCTTGGCAGAAGTTCCAAAGATGGTGGAGCCTCTGGTGGACGTGGGAAGCCCTGACGTCCAAAGCAGGGCTGTCTTCCAAGGCGTCGAGCAGTTTCCACACATCAACACAGAGCACTCTTTGCTCGGTTCAGATTAGGTCAGAGATAGGTCTGACATACCTGTCCATGGAGACGACGAACTGGGGACCTTCTCATGCAGAGCTGGCTCTTACCGACTCACCAGTGGCTACGCGTGGACTCTAAGCCACGGCCCCTTGCCCCGCGCCCAGGGCGCCACTCCTGATGCCATGCTGCCATCTTGAGCGAGCGCTGCAACCCCCACCTCACTGTCCTGCCTAAGGGGAAAGGAAATCTATTTTTATAATGAAATAGGCGGAGTGCACACTTAGGTCCTATTAAGCCAAAGATCATGGAGTCATCTTGCAGAGGCTTTCCAGGGCAAGGTTATTACAGCGTGAGCGCTGCGTGATTTCTCTCTCAGGGAATTTCGCTGTTGTTGTTTTGTACTCATCAAGAGTGCCCAACACCACCCACAGAAGGAGTGGGGGAGGGCGGAGGGGGGGGAAAACGACGAACAAAACCCTTGTTCTAGGCAACTCTTCCTCAAAGCCTTCCTAACAGGAAGGGGAGCAGTGTAACAGTTCCTTTTGTGAGCCGTGCCAAATTTAGAAGAGCAAAAGCAGGAAATCGTGCGTGTTTCCTCCTGCGGGCATCATGGGACCTCTTGCCGATAAGCGATGCCCAGACTAAACACAGCCGGATCGGAGCTTTGAGTGCTGGGCGTTTGGGGCGAGAGCCGAGGGCCGTTTGCTGCTTTGCAGCCTCGAGCCTCGCTTGGTGCAGCCTAGAACGCCGCCGGGTCGCTCTTTTCTCAAGGCCGAGGGCCGGGACTGAGTTGCTGTATATGAGAAAGCCTCGTGCGAGAAGTACTCGTTCTGGAACTCCCCCAGCTGCCCTCTCGGCGTAGGATGTCTGTGTTTGAATACAAGAGCGGATGCGGCTGTCTCCTCGCTTTCAAATTTAGCAAAACCCTCAGCTCTTGAGAAATAGCATCAGAAAAAGCTGAGTCTGAAGTTAGCCAGGAAATCAATGGCTGTGATTTCCTCGGAGCAGACCAAAGGAGTTAGGCCATCCCTAGCTGCTTTTCGGTTAGTCAGGGTTTCGGTCTGGGCTTATCTACGGCCAAAGCTTCCACCTCGCCATTGTTCGCTTTTTTTAAAAAACCCTTTGAAGCAGCAGCACTGGGTGGGCAAGAGCCAAATGGGTCAAAACCGGGCCCGAGACAGGACTAGGTTCACACAGCACGGAAAGCTCCTGTGTGGTCCGACGCAGAAAGCACGGTTTGTTAACCACACGCAAGCCAAGCCATCCTACCGGCTTTGGCTGATCACCCGCCAGAGCTTGGCGCGTTGCGTGACCCAGAACAAACCTGTTTATGCTCCCGTTATTTTAATGTTAAATGGGTTTTAATTGTGATTTTATTGGACGCTGTGCCATTTTTACCTGTGCTTGTTGCAAACCATTCTGAGACGCTAGTAATGGGACAGTCTGTAAAAGATTTGGGTGGGTGGGTGGGAGCTGGGGTGGAGGAGCTCAGGAGGCTTGGATGGCATTTGCGACAGGCTGGGATTCCACCAAGGGGAGAGACGGGCCTGCTAGGACCCCCTTCTCCTCGGCATACCTCCCCGTGTTGTCTTCCCACTTACACCAGCCTCCGCTTTTCTCCTTTTACTGCGTTGCCTCCCTTCCGTCCAGTTGCAAAGGCGCGCTCGCTCTTGCTCGTCACAAACAGACGCCCCCTCTGACGAATTCCCCTGACGATTCCCCTTAACCTTCCGGCTTCTGCAGATTGAGGACCTGCAGGTGAAACTCCAGCACGCGGAAGCGGACCGGGAGCAGCTGCGTGCGGATCTGCTGCATGAGCGGGAGGCACGGGAACACCTGGAAAAAGTAGTCAAGGAACTGCAGGAGCAGCTGTGGCCCAAGCAAAGCGAGCTGCCCGGCAGTGAACACACGGCGAGAGGCTTGGAGAACTGAGCCCGTTCTGAGGAGTGCGGGGCATCCGTCTGATCCCGAGGCCGGACGGAGGAAAGATACACAGTAAGGCAGAAAGTGTAGGAGAGGAGCTGAGGCGAGGGGTGGCGTCCCTGGCCTCGCCGCCGAGAAACACGGACTTCGTTCTTAATTGGAGGGCAATGTTACTCTTTCTAACAGAAGCACTGAATCCCACCTCTCTTTTTCCAGTTCATATAGCACAACATCTTCCCGTGCCTATAACATGAAGAGGGTCTATAAGCCTAAACTACTTTTTGAGTCTGCAGCAAAAAAAAATAATAATAATTTTTTTCTACTGGTAAACACATGCCTGGCAAGCAGCATGGAAGCGGAATCCAAACCGAGCAACGGGGCTGCTTCTTGGGAACACTTTGGAATTGACACACACACACAAAACCCCTTTTGTGATAAGCTATTTAAAAATGCAAACAATTGAGTCATGAAGATGTGGTATTAAAGCCATTGGCAAGATTTTTTTTAAATACATATATATATATAATATATATATATATATATTATATATATATAAAGGGGGAGGGAATACTTCCAGTACCTACTCTATAGAGACAACTTGCTATGCCCTTTGGGTTTTTTCTTAAGAGAAGTGTTGGGAAAAGCCCTCAAATAAGCCATGACCATTTTAAACCAGGCGATTTCTATGAGAATTTCAAATTTAGTTTTTTTCCTAGCTAAAAAACTTGTTTCCTCCATGCTTGAACCAAGAAAAGGAAGAAAGTCCATGGAGAAAAAGGGATGGTGGTTAGGTTGCGGTGGGGAAACGAGGTTGCGTTATATCCTAAATGAACCCAGCCTTATTAAATTCAGTGTTTGTTAATCATGCCGTAACATTTTTCAATATAGATATATATAGATATATATAGATATATATATGTCAATTATTAACTGATGTGTTTTAAAGACTCACTTCAACTCCAGAGCACTTCAGTTTTAGGAAACAAATAGAAGAATAAAAAAGAGAGCGAGCGAGCGAGCGTCACAGGAAGACGGCTGGACCATGAAGTCGCTTGTGGAAGATACTCGGGAAAACTCGTACGGCACGTGTGTTTGGAAACCGCTCTTTCTGGTTTCCCAGAGAATTCGTCCCCATTTAATCATCACCTCAGAAATTTCAGTATTGTATGGAGCTTATCCCGGCTGTCATGAGCGAGGGCCGTGATCCCCTCCCAGGAGTGCTCAACTTTGTATTAAAGAGACAAGAGACTTTTGCTGCTGTGAGAATTAAGGCTACATTTCTTATTCTTTGGGTGGGGTTTGTCCTGGGGGCTTTTTTGTATTAAATGTGATAAATACTTTAATATTGGGATCTGTGCCGCAATCCCTGCCCCTCCCAATGATGGATTTAAAAATATGCAGTAAATGACACAACTCAGGGCAAAGTCCTATCCTCAGTAGGAGTTTTGCTTCTACCTGATTGGGGCCAACACTTAATAACCCGCTGGATTTTTATTTTTCCTTCGGAAACGTTGTTTGTAAAGAACTGCACTTTGTGTTCCCTTTTTCCCTATTTCCATCCGAGAGGTATTTTAACCTTTCATCCGTGGTGGGCTGGCTTCAGTTCCACCCCCCCTCCCAAGACCCGTGAGGCTCTTTTGAGAGTAAGAAGGGGTGTAAGGTGAAATCGGAATGGTTAAAACCAGGACTGCAGTGCAGGGAAGACGACGGACTTGGGTCCCCCGGCCGAGTCGCTTGGGTCGCTGTTCTGCGGTTCGATTCAGGGATGCCGTCCCCCACGAGTCCTGCTGGCCAGACAGTTCCCGAGTACCACCCTAAACCTTTACCTGGGGGGAGTGGGCAGCAATCCAGTAGTCGCGGATTCTTGCGCGCCCCATCTCTGTATCCCGTTCATGAATGCTGAAGAAACCCTGCTCTGTGAATGATACCTTTCTCAAGTTACCAAAGTGCAGTCGCCCGTCCTAACATTAAAGTATTGACTTAAGATACACTAGAGGGGGAAAAAAAGGTTGTATTAAAAAGCTGATGTTATCCATTCTACTAGCATGGAACCCGAGGAGGAGGAAGTACAATTCCGTTTATGGGGGCAGGGAGGGGGGGTTGCTACAGAAAAATAAAGGCAGATACATTAGAAAAATTGGGCAGAATTGAAATATGGGAAGCAAGAAACCGCTATTCAGACTGTTGTGCATGATACAAAGTTGTCTTGCCCTTGTTCATTTGCAATGAGTAGATTCAGCTCTCCCTTCGTAAAGTGCAATGCAAAAGGAATATTGATTGTGTTTTTAATGTGAGGATTTTTTTAAAAAAATGCTTCTTTGTATGTTTTTTTCTGCAGTTATTAAAAAACCCATATGCATGGAATTAAAATCTTTGCCATACATATTCTAATTAATGGGCATTATTACTGTCTTATGTAAAGGTGCATAAAGTGTTTTTGGTTCTCAGCCATATGAATTTCCAGGATCTGTATTGCTTTCTGTTCAGTAATTTCATCCAGAAGCACAACAGGGATTTCGTTCTAGTCCACAGTTGCTGTTGGCAGTTCAGACTCACTGACAAGAATTCACTCTTAGGACAAACCGGTGCTTCCTTGCGCCCTTTTGTTCCCTGTGCCCTGTTCCAGCATCGGGGAATTCTGTTTCACGGACGCCTGTCCAGCCTAGACCGATGGCAAAATTGTGTTCTGCCAGGCAGAGGGCATCCCCTTAAGAGCAGTGGCTGCCTTCTTTGAAAGACGGCCTGTCGACAGTCGCCCTATAGCAACAGGGGCGCGGCGATGTTTTACGATGCAACCCCATCTCATGCGCAGGAACTGTGTGAGCCAAGCCCGCACCCCTACCCAACCCCACACCTCTCCCCAACCCATTCCCGGGTGCATTTGGTTCCTTGGCCCCGGCGTCCGAGGGAAAGATGCACAAAACCAGACAGCCACCACCGTATCCAGTGAATTCTTGCACTTGGACCTTTGGGCAAGTCGGTGCTTTCCCCTCCCCATCCTTGCCTCCACTGCTGTGCTGCACCCCCTTCGAGGAACAGGCCAAGCTGCAACAGAGGGAGGGCAAGCCAGGGCGGAGGGAGGGCAAGCCAGGGCGGAGGGAGGCCCGCTTGTCATGGCAAGCTGTGGTGCCACAGGTGCTGGCATCTAAAGGGCAGGGGTGGGCCAGTGCCTGTCCTGGCTCAGAGAAGCTGCAGGCCAAAGCAACCGGGGGGGCACCGAGGCTGTCCTGCAGCACCTCACCTTGGGCTCGTCGCATATACTTTTCTTTAAAAAACACCATTGTGGCAGTATATGCATTCCGCAGTCTCTATACTCGAGGCCCAGAGAGTCTGAGTAGATGAACCAGGAAGTAAGCCAACAAAACTATGTCACCTTCTACACAGTCACTTACCAGGGTGGAGGAAGGAACGGTCTTGAGACTTCAGCTGCATCTGTTCTCCGAATTTCACTCACGCGTCCGGTGATCCCATTGATTGTGACACGTGCTGCTTGGCCAAGGTGTGCCAAGCCACCGACATGCCCAGAGAAACACACCTCCGCGCGAAATCAGAGTCGCCGAGGGGTTTCTTAGACTTGCATGCAGTTAAAAGGTGCGTGCAAGTCTAAGGCCGCGCAACATGACAGTGCTGTGTTCTTTCCGGCAGAGCCCCACTGATTTGATGGGATTTGAGTAAAAAGGCACAGGAAGATCCCCGCAAGTCCACACCGGGGTTTGCACCACCAGAAAACCCATCCCGCTGTACAAGCCAGGCTTGGCTTGCCGTGCCCATTAAGCCCAGATGCGCCTTGTTACCTGCTGCACTTGGGTTCTGGCGCTAAGGACAAGCCATCCCTGGCTTGCAACCCAGCCGGTGTCATGCAGAGTCGAGAAAGCTTTCCCTGGACACCCCCTTTTAATTTCTTCTCTGCTCATGGCAAGAGACCGGCTTAAAAGAGGCCCACGCCAGATGATAAGGCAAGCCACACGCTCCTCGGGGTGTTGGCCCCTTTCCGCTGACGGACGCCAGCACCGAGCTGCCCTCCTTGCGCAAGGTTCGTTGCGGCAGGCCAGGCGCCCTGGAGAAGGTCCTAGCCCCACGGTGCCTGCGGAGCATGGCGGGCCCGGTTGCTGGTACTCCAGGCCAGGGGTCTGAGGACCAAGCCTTTAAAAGTGGCCCAAATCCACAGCACTGCAAAGGCTCCAAGCCGACACCTGGAGCCCTGCAGGAGTGGCGGCTTCTCCGCCATCAAAGCACGGTGCAGGTCTGGCTAGCCCTCTTCACGCGGGACACGAAAGGATCGGCAGCTGCTTATGCCACACACTTTGCTCTCAGTCCCAAGTCTGCACAGTAACCGGCCAGTAATACATGCTTGCAAGCGTCTCCCGCGCACCATAAACGTACGTTGTGCCATCGAGTAGCGCCTTTGGTTTCTTTGCTGATGGGCTGGTTCGGCAGCGGCTAATGTGCCGTTCACGCCACTGCACTCACCGTTCAGGTTCCTTTGCAAAGTTTTCTTTTAAAGGGGAAAAGCGTTCTGCCACATACTCCGGCCTTCAGGAGGCATCCAGGTCCAGCTCCCAGCATGCCCCAGCTAGAAGTGGCTGCCCGGGAATGCTGGGAGCTCTCCCAACACATCCGGCACGCACCGGGCTGGGGAAGGATCACAGAGGCGGTCGACCCTCCCTAAACATCAAATATATATATATAGCTATATATAATCTAGATAATTGTATATTCAGCTTAATTCACTTTAAAAAAATACTGAAATAAGACTTTAACGAAGGGGGGGGAAAGAATACCAACAGCAATAAGACATTCATATCTATGGAGCAGCTATGAAAATTCATGAAAATAACCTGCTTTTTTCAAACAGAACTAGCCAATGTGTAAAAAAGAAAAAAAAAGGAAAAAAAGTCAATTTGTAAATACTTTTTTTCATTTTACAGTTGTATAATAAGTGTATATGGTGTTTAATTTTTCAAAACCTTTTTCTTACTTAGTTGTCTTGTTTTAAGCATTGTGTTTTTAAACTAAGAAAAGTTACGCTTTGTTAGGAAAAACAACCACAAAGAAAAAGTTTTTCTTCGCAATTTCAGTGTCGGTTAAAACGTTTTTGCCATTCTTTGCATCATACTTTTGTTCTTCAATGTAAAGTATTTTATTATTAAAAGCAAATAAAATTGACATTTTCCCCTTCCACCCCCAAGCAGTCTGTCTGTTTAGAGAGGGGTCTTTTAAAGCAAAAAGGAGTTTCGGAAATATGTTTTCAATTGAGTGGATAACACTGCAAATTTCTAACAAGTAAAACCATTTCAGCACATTTTTGTTATCCCCCACCCCCAGCTGCTGCTAACAATTTTATGACTTACTCTCCTCTTTTAAAACTATTTTTATGTAATTAAATATGCTTTCTTGTTTATAAATGCCTGATTTACAAAAAAGAAAAAGTGTGGGGTATTTATCTATTTCGCTGTGTAACTTGATAGTCCTTTTCAAACTCCCCCTTTTTCCACATCCCTTTCCAACCTGGAAACAGATAATATTGTAAAATAAAGGACTTTATCAAATTATGTATGAAAATAGCTATGCTTATATATACCACGGTGACTGAATGTACAGTGTATAGACGCATTATCTAAAATAAAATTGTTTGTCCAGAAAAAACTCCACAGGCACCAAAGGTATGTTCTTTTGCTAGTCTGGGTAATGTGAACCAAGAGAGTTTCTATTGCCCAAGAATGACTAATTTCTAGCAGGAAAATAAGTTGCATAATTGGTGCAATTCTGAAGAAAAGCAACCTTAAGTTATTTCCTGAGACTCCCATTAGAATAATCGGACAGAATTGGAAAGGACCTATAAGGCCACTGCTCCCAGCCCCTCGAATCCAACCAACATAATGCATTCTCTAGGTTTTGTGTGATTTTAGGAAGCAAGTTTCTAAGCCTCATGATTTTGAGCTATCTGGCGAGGAAGAGGGGAGGGAATGCATGCACTTGGGCATCGAAAAGTACAGGCATCGGGTTGGAAATTTATGGAAATGGCAGCAAGCAGTTTACGGGGGATGCTGTTTCCTAGCGAGTGACAATCTAACCAGGTCAACCTCTTCTGCTCTGACGTGGAATCATCTTTGTTATTCTCTGAGTTACTCGCTGTTCTTAACGGTCCACACCACCTTTCCCAAAATGGTGGAGAATGCAAAGGAGGAGTTAAGTGCAGTTAAATGTGTTGGACTGCTGAGAAGTGAGTTGACAGGGCTTGGAAACATCTAAAAACCGACCTTGGGATCCCCCCAAAAGTCCAGTCCTTACATGCAGCAGTTTGTCAAAGGTGTGAGAAGTAAACTGGGGAAGACACAGGTCCTGCTTTTGATGTTTTGAGTGCAATGTTCTAGCCTGGCAGGGTCTCGCTTTACCCCTCTCTCCTGAGGTCAGAGAAGGGGCCAAGAATTTTCTGGAGTATCTAAACACCCTGGGATCTGTGCCCTCCATGTTTTAGCCTGCCTCTTCGCTTCTGGCGCTTGTCTTTTCTTGCCCTCTGTTTTCCCCTGGAGCTGTTGGAATACCACTGCTGATCAATTGCTCTGCCCCACTTAAATCTTACCGGGCAACTGCGACTTGTTGAATGAAACCTGATTTTCAGATGCTTACCTGCATTGCAGGACTGCAGTGGAGGAAACTCATTCTCTTCCACCTTCACCAAAGTGGAAAAATTCGAACAAGATGGCAACACCGGGACAAGCAAAGATATCTTCTGTCGGAGACCAAAGGACACAGTCCTGCCCCCCTGACTTTGCCAAAGACAAAATGCCTCACCAAAACGGGTAATCTACTTGCAGGAAATGTGTGTGTGTCAATTTCTAGGCATGGATCAAGACTGAGAAGCCACCACGTCAGTTAAACAGAAATGCAATGCTCCGGCGGAATTGTGTACCTTCCTTGGGGTGCTGTCCGTTCTCCACTTCAGTCCCCACCTTCTCCCTTTTGGTTCTTCATCTTTGAACTGGACTTGGACTGGGAAGCCCCTGAACAGTGACTGCCATCTTTAAGCAGCACGAATGGCCTTGCATGGGCTCCCAAGTCAGCTGCCCGGGAAGCTCCCATGCCTGACACCTGATTTTGCAAAGCCGCTGCTTCAAAGAACTCCGGCCAGCAAACAGGGCCCTCCCGCCTGGATTTCTGCTCTCCGCTTCCCAAACTGGCCTACTGTGGGTGTGTTGGCCTGCACCTTCAGGGGATGCTAGGATGAGCAGTGCAGGACATCTGGACAGCACTGGGTAGAAGGAACACGGAGAATCCTAGAGAGAGGGTGAGGAGCCTTGCTTCTGAGTTGCTTTTTACGCCGCCGAGGTTACCCTGTTGATGTGCACGTGGCCTGTTTTATAGGACCTTAGCCGCTCCTCCTCTGCCAGGTTTCTTCTTGCGACTTTAAACTTTATGCAGCTGACCTAGTTTAATGCGCGCAGCAGA